TATATGAGATAAAATATGAGTTTATTTCTAACTATATTAACGCACTACAAGAAATAACATTTTTTATGACAAAAAATTGTGTGACACATAATAATTTGTCATATTATGTTGAGTAATAGTTACAAAACTCGAATTTGTCATAATAAAGTGATTTGTTATGACAATGTTATTGTTTGTCACTTTAATTCTTATATTTTGTCACTAATTGATATTTAATGTGACAATAAAATCTATTTCGTCACTTCAAGTTTGAGGGCCTAATTTTGGCGCCAAAAATCTGGAGGGAAGTTTTTTATGGCATATTTTAAACATGTAATGACGATAATTTGTGTCACATAGTTTTTAACTATTAATGACAAAATCATATTTTGTCATTAATTGTTTTGTAAGATAATGACAATAATATTTCGTCATTGATGCTACCATTTGATGACGATAAGTGTAAATCTGTCATAGTTTAGTTTTCAACAAATATTTTAAAAATTTCCAAAAAAAAGAAAAGCAAAATATTTTCAAACAAAAGTGAGAGAGAAATTTGTAATTGAAAGTTTAATCTTAATGGATAATGACATTGTAATCTCATATTATTTATTATTTTATTTACAATGAAAGAATTAAAATTGATTATTTTATAAAATAATGACATTTTTTATTAAAGCTCGTTTTTTATGCTAAAGGTTGCTAATTAGTCATAATCTAACATTTTAATAAATATATTGTAACAAAATTTTACGCAATATTGCATTATTACTACTATCACTATCATCACCATCACCATCATCATGACCACCACCATCACCACCACCACCACATATAGTTGTGCCAGATAATAATGATGTACTTCCTCCGTCCCCCAATTAAGTTCTGTGCTTGACTTCATATGTTTTAAAAAAATAAATTTGACTTTACTGTGGAGTGCACTATTTGACACTGTTTGGACACTGTTTATCACTGTTTAAACACTGTTTGGCACTATTTTGCACTGTTTGACACTGTTTTGATGTAGATTATTTGCCAAAAAGGGAAAGTATTGAAGTGTGAACTTAATTTAGGGACTGCCCAAAAAGGAAAGTGAGAACTTAATTGGGGGACGGAGGGAGTATTTAATTAGAGTAATATTTCATGGTTTGGTATTGTCTTGGTCTTGTCCGTATAAGTCTAATATGGTCTGAACTAATGTATAGACGATTAGTCTATATTTACTTTATATCTCTCGAAGTCGTGTATGATCTAATTTATTTAGGTTTGGTCTGGTCTGATTTGATATGCTATGGTCTGATTTGGTATGTTCCGATATGATCCGGGAATGAAATAGGGTTGAGTAGAATTGTCGTAATTTTTTCAAACTCTACCGCGTAATCACTAGTACAAAAAATGCATTCTATAATTAAGACTTAATATGAGTTAACAAAAAATGCATTCTTTTTATTGAAGAAAAAACTATTAAATATCACTTATCAAATCAAAGTTCAAAACATCCCGAATACAACCAAGGGGTTTGAAACACACACCTCATGATCAGACATAGAAACGGCCGCTCTAGCAAGGTAATGAACGACGCGATTCACAGACCGTCTAACATAAACGAAAGAGATACTAGGAACAAAGTTTGTCATGCTTTTGATATGTTGTACAATAAGGCCGAAACTTGAATCTCATCTACTAGAATTTAAAAAAATGCATTCTATAATTAAGATTTTATATGAGTGAATGTTTATTTGTTATAAGGAGTAATTAAAATTAAAAGAATAAAAATACGTAATAATTCTATCCACTCATACCCTATGTACCGCCTCTCTGCTTCTACAGTTCTCGCTTCTCATTACCGCTAGTCTCCTCCCTATCCACGGCGCCTCACCATTCGACTCTAGATCGATGACCAATTAAGCACCACTTCCGCCACCAACCAGGACGGCCGCACGGCTGTATAACCTGAAGCAGCTGTACACGTGAACCACCTGACAACCGCACCACCTGGACCAGCCTGACGACGCACCCCCAGCAGTTCACACCATCTCTTTAGGTATTATCAATTCCTACTTCCGAGTTCCAACCGATTTATGTTGTTTTGCTGTTTAATTTTGTGTATGTTGGGTTAAAGAACATTATGTTGGGTTAAACAAGCCTAATTCATGTTTGTCCAGTGTTCACCATGCCTCAAGCTTTACGGATTCTATCATCTTGTTCTTTTTCTTTTTTTTGAATAAAATCATCTTGTTCTATTTCCTTGCTAATTATTTGCTATGTAATTGAACTTGAGGTGCCTTGGTATGTTGTTAACTAGGATTCAGGACATCTGCTGACAGCTGCTAAGGGGAATTGCAAATAGACTAAGGCTCCATTTGTTATGAAAAGACAAAATTTCAAGAAATCCTCTTTGAATTTCTTGTCTTTAGTATCTTAAAATATGTTTCATTGATTCTTTGATAGTTTCCGAAGAATGCTTGAGGTCATTCCTCAGCTTACACGTGCTTAAAAGAATTGAAAACTTAGATCTTGCTTGGAACATGGGCAATTCAGCAAACTGTCATCTGTTTTTAACTTTTTTTACATCGTGTTGTCTTATTCAGGACGTTTTTTCTTTTCATAATGACAAAAAATGAGTATAGAAGGAGGTGATCATGCCAAGAAGGCAAGAAATTATCTTTTCATATCTGAGGTACATACTTTTTACTTAACTGGCTAAGTGCTATTCAGAGTGTTAACTTAGCCCGTTAGTATAATAATTTCATTGACACTCTTTTCTCAAAGACTATGTAAAGAGGAGAAGTACTTGACAGGATCCTTTCAAGGTGCATAAATATATATCAACTTATTTCCCCACTCTCTTGCAGTCACTATGCTTATTAACATCATTTTAATCTTTTGCTTTTGGAATGAAGGATTGTGAAGTACTCATAAGAAGATGCTAGAGCAGTTTTGGTTTCAAACTTCAAGGAGTTGTTCACTGTGATCTAAGAGCAGTACTAAAAACTAGAGAAAGTTGTAGAAGTGGTGTGCACAGGTTGATGGATTTAAGATTCAAGTCGAAGATAATGGAAAAGAGGCGTTAAAGCAGAGAAGTCAATTACCTCCTCAAGTTTCAAAGTGGAAAAGAGGCGTTAAAGCGGAGAAGTCAATTACCTCATCATGTTTCAAAGTGGAGAAAGTCAGCATTTTTAGTACTAAATAAATGAAAGGATTTATGAACTCTACTTTTAGCTCAATGTTCTAGTATAATTATAAGTTATTTAGCTAGTCATTTGTTTTAGTCATCTATTATTTTATATATTCGCACAAGAATGTTAAATTTTTAATCGAGCAGTATAGTTTTGGCATAAAGTACCATTTTAAGCATTGAATTTGAATATATTACTTTGTTGATATTTACATTTCTGTACTATATCAAATCACCTTACATAACTTGAATGGTGAAAAATATATATAATTATATATGCTAATCATAAATTGTTTAAAGGTGACGGAAACACTTGTAACAAGTAACTTCAATTAATGACGAATGGGTATAAATATGACAAAATATAAGTAACTTAATTATGATGATTTTGTAATCGTCACTATTTAAAAACATAGAAAATTTATCGAGGATTGTCACTAAATCATATGTTTTGTTGACAATTTGTGATCTTGTCATTTTTTATTGCGAATTATTGGTGACGAAAAACATATTTAGATGACAAAAAAATCGATATAAACATGACACATTTGGTGTCACGAAAAGTGGTTAATAATGATGACGAAGTGCTAAATCGTCATTAAATGTTATTTTTTTGGTGACGAATCAAAAAATCGTCACATATACCTAATACCACGGAGCTACAATGACGATCACAATGACGATCAAAATTCGTCATATAAAAGTTTTGGTGACAAAAAAAGAATTTTACATGACGAAAACAATTGTCACATTATATCAAAATTCTTGTAGTACAGTGTATTTTGATAATGTGGAATAATTCAATGACATGAATGAGCGGAGGTCAGAAGATAATATATGTATATGTTTTCAAACCATAACCATTACCAACCCCCAAATCAATAAGCCTGCGGAGTATTTAATTTGGCTTATCATAGCAACTTGATTAAAACCAGCACTAATCATTTTAATCAATTTGTTGACATAATTAAATTTGATGCAATTAGTTATCCTTATGTTCTTTAATGTTCAAGTAGGATTTGGTCTAGTCCTCCTAGTAGTGCTTGTACTTTTCATTCATCAAATAAATAGGTTAGGTGTTCCTTGGCCCTCACTCTAAAGCCTTTTGGTTTACCGCCAGGTAAAAAAAAAAAGAACAAAACAAAATTGTACTGTATATGTTTTCAAAAAAAATCTTGGAATTTTTAATATTTATAAATACACATCATAAATTTTACTTGTAATATTTATAAATATACCCTCATATCTGAACCCTACTTTTTTTATCGTATTCTGATACTACCTCCGTCCCAACTTGTTTTTCAAAGTCAACACTTTTTGGTCAACCAATAATAAAAGTCAACCCTCCATATGGATAATTAATTCAATTTTTAATAATTAAAATTTACATATTCAAAAACTACATTCAAATCTCTTCGAAGTTGTAAACTCCAAATTAGAATATAATTAAAAATTGACATCCTAATTAAGTGAACAAAACGAGACTGTTTGACTAAGAAAAGTCAAATTTGCAACTCTTTTTAGGACGGAAGTAGTACGTGTTTTCGTATTGGTGTTGCATACATCCACACACAAAATTGAAGTATGGTGTGAAAACAATATAAAACGAGATTTTTATTTGGTCGTAGGGATGAGTGCGTACGTACATCTTGATTACTTTTAGGCAATTCACTGCCATTCCCTTGTATTGCGTATGACTAATTAATAATTAATGATTACTCTACCGTTGCAAAAATCATGACTCGGACTGCATCTTCTCCTGTACGAAATATTGTATAAATCCGCCCTGGCCTGGCCTTCTTTCCCCGCTGTCTCTTTTTTTTTTTTTTTTGTTTCAAGGTCGGTTCAAACAACTCTCGATCAGCATCTTCTCCTTCCTTTGCGTCGGAAAGCAGCAGCGGATGAAGTTGCTGTACAGTTATGGCGGGAGAATTGTTCCCCGTGGTGGCGATGGAAGGCTCCGTTACGTGGGCGGTTTCACGCGCGTGCTTTGCGTGGATCGGTCCATTAGTTATGCGGAGCTGATGGTGAAGTTGTGTGATGCGTGCGGAGAGGCGGTGAAGTTGAGTTGCAAGCTGCCGAGCGAGGATTTGGATGTTCTGGTGTCCATCTGCGGCGATGAGGAACTGGCGGTGGTGATGGAAGAGTACGAGAAGGTGTCGATGGAGATGAAGATCCGCGCCGTGCTTTCACCTTCCAAAAAGACCACGACGACGGGGTGGCCTCCTTCCTCCCCGTTGTCGTGTTTTGATTTCCCGCCCAGGTTCAATCAGCAGCAGCAGAAGCAGCAGCAGCAGCAGCGTGTAAAAACATACGGCCCGGGAACCTTAATTGGGCGCTCTCGTTATCTCGTTGCTGCTCCGATCCGCTCGCTTCGGAATTAATTAAACTACTGTATATATTTACCTAGCGAGTTATAGCTAGTAATTTGGTCAAAGCTAAGATTGATTATTCAAAAAATTACTAATGATCGAGAAATATATTAAAGCACGTACACTCGCTAGCTCCATCATATCGATCGCTAAGAGAAGAAAAACGACAACGAAACATACTCGATCGGTCGGTCAATTCCTTCTAATTTTCTTCTGTGGCCGGATTACCTAGCTAATTGCATGTTATATACTTAGGAAGGATTGATCGAGTGATATATATGTATATATATCATCATTCTACCTACCTATATACATAGTTACTCGAATCTGATCTCTCGATCGGGTACGTGGTTGCTGGTTTCGCCGTATTGGATCGAAATTATCAAGTTGCTAGCTGTATGTTAGCCGCGCGTGACCTAGTTAGGGTTTGTGTTTCCCGTCGTATTTGGCATTACGTACAGACCCGGCCGCCCATCTTCGCTTCCGTGGCCTTTCGGTGATCGAGCCCACCACTGTACGTAGCACCCTTATCCCGCCCGTATGCTAAACGAACCACTTTAACTATTTTCAGAATACACATCGATCTTATTACACACACATATTCCCACTATTTCATCATATATAGAGAGAGTTTTTAATAATTTACTTAGTATTTAATTAGTTTTCACATTGAATTTTAAGTTTAAATTTCAAAGACACAATCAAAAGTGTATCAAAAAAAATTATCCAGAAGTACCTCAAATGGAGGTGTCCTAACTGGTCTGACAGGGATCATGTATATATATACTAGTATATATATATATAGAGAGAGAGAGTGGTTCTAATGAGAACACTCCTTATTGTGAGATGTGAGAACACATCCTAACCCACCATCTCATTAAATTAATGGTCATTAAATAATTGTCTCACAATCAGTGGCGGATTTGGAATTTGAATATTGGGTGTTCAATGCTTTTTTACAACTACAAATTTAAAGAGCAATAAATAATTATACCTAATTTACATATATATACCTACATATTTTTAAAACATTTGGGTGTTCATGAGAACCACTTTGAACATGAGTGGCTCCGCCACTGCTCACAATATAAAGATGGAAATTATCACATTGAAACTTATCTCATACAAATGGAAAGGAGAGACGTTTAACTAATAATGGGCATTAGAGTAATTTTATTATACCATTTAATGGAGTAACGGTTGTAGGCTACAACTTTCCGAAAAAGTAGGTAAAAATAAAATATTAAAATATATAAAATGTTTTTAGTTTAAAATTGATTTAACTTTTTAAGTTATAATCCAATTTTATCAAAAATAATATCAAATGAAATAAATTTTTTTATCTTCTATATGACACCAATATTGCATATGTAATTTTAAAAAAAAATACATAGTAGTTATTTTTTGTATATAATAAATTACAACAAGTATCTCCGGCTATCACGCACACTCACAAGAACATGAATCTAACGCACAACAATCAATATTTAATGCACACGAAAAGCAGTATCTCACAAATAGTTTGTATATAAAGCACCCGAGCAAGTATATCGATCACAAAAAATAATATCTAACGCACAACAATTAAGAACTAATATTGAACACGTAAGGATTTCATATATATAATTTAAAGTTTATTCTATTATATAATACACATCAACTAGTATAGTAGCTATAGCACAATAAGTATATATGTTAGAGAACTTGTATCTAACACATATTGTGCACATAAGGAATCACAACAAATACATAATGCATAAGAACCAGTATCTAGCACACAACAACCAATATATAACCATTGTAAGTATTTACCACACAAGAATCAATATTTCAAAAACAATAACCAGTATTTATTGCACATGAACCGATCTTCTTACTTTTAGCTAGGATATAACGCACTACAATTGGTATTTGATGCAAAGTAAGTAAATAAAAATAAATTACAATTTAATGGAGAATAACTTTACCGAAGGAAAAATTGAATGAAAAGGAATGCTATTTTATTTTTATAATTGGATAACTCAATTGATGTGACAAATAAAATATAAATATTTACTATGATGTATATGGAAAAGTCAACTGACATACCAAAATTGATTAGAGGAAAGTTAGCCTTTCCATTAGGAACGTATTTCCTACAAGATCGGTTACCAAACTGCCAAGCACAATAAGACTAAAATAACCTTTACTAACATTTACTTGATCGATGATTGGTTAAGATTTTTGATGGTTTGGATTTGTTCTCACTTCTCACATTAAGAGATGTTCTCATTTGAACCAAATTCTATATATATATATATATATATATATATATACACATATACATACATACATACATACATACATACATACATACATACATACATACATACATACATACATATATATATATATATATATATATATATATATATATATACAGAAAAGATCAGGTCCCTTCGGAGGGACGGGAGGGACCGTCCGAACTTTACTGTTTGGGGCGGTTCCCGATGGAATTTTTTGATGAAATTTTTTTAACATGTTCCTCATCAAGTCTAGTTTGTCCATACCAAATTTCAGCTCAAAATGTGACCAGGAAGGCAGTCAAATAAATTCTTGAAGCTTACTGCACATTCTGCGCATATATAAAGTGCAGTAAGTTTCAAGAATTTATTTGACTACCTTCCCGGTCGAATTTTGAGCTGAAATTTGGTATGGACAAACTAGACTTGATGAGGAACATGCTCAAAAAATTTCATCAAAAAATTCCACCGGGAACCGCCCCAAACAGTAAAGTTCGGACGGTCCCTCCCGTCCCTCCGGAGGGACCTGAGCAGTCCTATATATATATATATATATATATATATATATATATATATATATATATATATATAGGACTGCTCAGGTCCCTCCGGAGGGCAAGGCCTTCTGTAATATTAATTGAGCCAGCCTTGCCTTCCATATACTACTCTCAAGGGGATGGAATATGGAATTACTTGCGTATATATGGAAGGCAAGGCTCGCTCAATTTATTTGAACCACTTCAATATTGAGTAGTATATGGATGGCAAGGCTGGCTCAATTTGGTATGGTTCAATTTATTTGAACCACTTCGATTTTTTCAGCCTTGTTTGCTTCAATTTTTTCAGCCTTGTTTGCTTCGATCTTTTCAGCCTTGTTTGCTTCGATCTTTTCAGCCTTGTTGGTTCTAGACAAAGATCGAAGTGAAGGAACGGAGGAAGTAAGAAAATGTAGTCCGATTTTAGCGTAATTCCTCTATTTTATCATCAACCTTGGCCGGTAGAATGCTTCTCAGTCATCCAAAAATTGATCCCAAAAAAGCAATCTATCCGTCTATTCTTTATTCTTCTACGGCAACAGAAGCTACAGAGGGAGATTTAGACAACCAACTTTGCTCTCTACAATAGTTAGTGGAGGATAGGTGAGTGGCTCTCTTTCGTGTGTTTTTGGAACTTGTCAATAGAGTTATACGGAGTAATATCAATTTAAAACTTGATTTATTATTTACATACGATTTTTTCTGAAAAGTATTGTGATATTTATTATTTATTGCATAACTACAGTGTGATAGCTTAAAGGTTTTAAGAAACAATCACTTGCTATTATGATGCCCTTGTTATTAATAAAACCCTTGTTGCTATTGAAGAAATGAATTGTACACTCTCTTTTATGGCTAAACTAAATATCCAACCTTTAGTTATTATCAAACTGAAAAATACACTTTTTATTATTATGAATGTTGATATCCTATTATAACAGTTTAATGTGTTTTTCAGTTGAAATTCAGTTTTATGAGCTTAGCTTAAGCTTTGTCTGTTCGTGCTTGGCTTAATTTACTTATCTGTTCTTACTTGGCTTAATTTAATGTTTCAATGGCCGAGTAAAGGATATAAAAAAAACATTCTCGTGATGACTATATGTTCGTTAATACCGACACAAGTAATCTTTTATCCTTTGCTTGAATAACTAATTATGCTTTATGTACTTATGTCGGCTTGCCCATTGTATTTATGTTCTTTGTGCTTAACATCTTATAAGGCGACTCATGAATGAGTGAGGATATACTCTTGCCTAGCATGGAGTACTGTGTATCTATATTGAGTGAGAGACGGAAAGAACTAAATTATAACTATTAAAGTATTATTATATTGAGGTTTCATTGGTAAAAAAACATTTTTTTTCGGATTCTTAACTTGTTGAGGTCCCAATTTGACTTTTTTTTTGCCTACTTTAGGTTCCAATTTGACATTTTGGGTGTTATCATTTAATTTCAAATTCTTGAATTGATTTGACGTCACATTTCATATCTGATTCTGGGGCTAATGTGGTATAAATAAATTAATGAAGGGAAAAGGATTCTTGGCTAGGGACAATCATTGGTCATTACAGAGGTATGCAAATCAATAGGAGCGGATCACTCCACTAAGCGACTGTTCGAAGCTCTATCTTTAGTGGGATGCTCATGTCTCAGACCACTCCTCTTGTTGTCTGATCTCTCCTCTTCCTGCCTCCATATTCCCGCTTGATGGTTGCTCCCCAAACGATTTGGTTAGCTCTCTGCTCATTTATTACTCATTTATTTCCCCCTTTTCTTCTATTTTCCAATTTCACTTGTACTCTGTGAAACGTTAATACAAGTTTTTGCTTGGTCTGTGCCTATCTGGATAATGAGCTCATCACCTCTCCACACCTGGTATGCTTTGGAAATTTCTCTTATGAAGGTTTCACCTTTTTAAGGTCAGGACATTAGCTACAATTCCTTGGTTTCGTCGAGTACGAGTGTTTACAATTTCTAACTTGTGCTAGAATTTTATTTCAAGTTGTAACTGACAATGAATGGTTGAAGTATACAGGAATGCCCCAAATCATAGGATTAGAAGATGGACAGTTTCACAGCTTTAGTGAACTTGATTTCAGGTCAACTAGCTCTTCTTTTCTCTTTTCCGATGGCATGTGCTTGATGGTATTTTTGTTTTGTATTTAATTTTTCGTTGTTGATGGATCTGATAGAAATTCCAGACTATGTTTTTATCTTTTGAATGACTTATCATTAAATATATGCTTTGGCCATATTTGTATATCGTTGTAACTCACTTTGAGGCTTTGAGCATAACTTTGTGAAGTGCACAATTGCTTAAGAAGGAAAAATTTGGTGATCTCATCTCACAATTCATATTATTGTATAATGATTTGTTTTTTCATGAGAAGAGATGATATATCATTGATTTGATGAATTAGTCTGCTGCTTTATTAGAACGTAGAATTCTATTGAAGTTGAATTTTAGAACCCCTTTTCTCCTTAATCTAATTAGCTTTTATAGAGGTGTAACTTTATTTAAGAATATGAAAATGATCAATTTATGAAAATGATCACCGCAAACTTGGGGGCCGGTAGCTTTGGATGAGGTAAATCATATGTAGTATATGTTAAACTTCTGCACTTGCATCACATATAAACTGCCACCATCATTCATGGATAATTGATTCACTTGAATTATTATTGTGTTTTGTCATTACTTGCTCCAGAACAGCTTCATTAGTTAGGTTTAATTTCTGATTCCCCTTCTAAGATCAAGAATATTGAACTATTGTTTTATACATGTATTTTTATGCTTAAAATTCTCAATATTATGAATATAAAACTATTGTTTTATACATGTATTTTTCTATTGAATGTTGTTTCAATCTTACATTTTCCTTTTATGGTCCGGAGGTGTTTCAATTTAATACAATTAACTCTCTTTAGTATTCTAAATTTTAATCTCTAGGTGTACAATTCTATTTGTTTTCTTGGCATTTCACGGGAATACGGGATTCTGTTGAGCTTGTTTAATAGATACAAGTAGATGTAGAGGTAACCTAACCTTATTCTGTTGTTTCTGAAATAAATTTCTCTCTCTCTCTCTCTCTCTCTCTGTTATAGAACATCACTGACTTGGCTCGAATTATAGCTTAATAGTTTTTGGTTGTTTTGTCATTTTTGCTAACATTTTACCTTCTATAACAATGCAAAATTCAATTCATGTATATTGACCAAAACTATTTAGAAAATAGATAAACTTGATGGAGTCGAGTTAGCTAAACTATCAAACTGATATTGAGTCCTCGGGGATAGGGTTAAACATTTCCAAAATATATTGATATAGAATAATACAAAATTATGGGGTGTGAAATTAAGTTAATTGGGAAAAACATCATGAATCAAGAATTGTGAAATTAAGAAATATAATTACTGAAAAGAAAGTAGGATAACCGTGTTGCTCTTGCTAGGATAATCGTGTTGCTCTAAACCATGTTGTACATGCAGCTATTTTATTCGGCTTGATTATACTTTTAACAAGCTGGTTATTTATCTTCTGAATTAATAATGGCTTCTCCTTTCACAAAAGGGAAAAGAGCGAAAAGAAAGGGAAGGTTGATGATTTGTAAATGAAAATGCAGTTTTAGACATTTGAATACTTTTTCTTAAAAGAAAATCTAAGTAATTCGTTAATACATTTTTAATACTTTTACATACATACATTTCATTAATTTAATTCCTTAAAAAAGACAATTCTTTAAGATTATTAGCTCCACAAATAGATTAAGCTCATGTGAATGTTATTTTTGTAGTGAAGAGTAAATCTTTATCCGCATAACTTGTTTGTATGGTTGTCATATGGAATTAACTTGCTTAACATAAATGGTAAGGATCATGTTTCATGCTTCTCTCATCTATTACAACATGCTCGTTTCCTTTAACCAGGAAGTCAATTCAATTGGTAGCTTGTATTTCCATTGAAGCAATCTCAGTACTAGAGAAGTTGCACTATCAAGGGTATATTTTCATTCATCACTTGGAATTGTTTCGCTCTTGTTGCATGTTTGTCAAACTCTATTTTGTTATAGCATGCTACTATATTGGTATATGTTGTCAAACCAGTATATATGGCAATCTGCTAGCCATATGTTCTTTGTGTTTTGTTCGGAATGGAAGTTTGAGCTGAGCTCTTTTGGGAGTGGAGTGTTTGTTAGATGTTGGAATGGATCTGAGAGTTGGAAAGAAAGAGTGTTGTTAGGTTTCATTTATAGGAGGTTGGCTGATAGGTTTCCATTTTCCTCTTGCCAGTTAAGGTATGTTGTTGTTGTGATTAGAAAATGGGGCTGAGTTTATGGGACTCTCACATGGCTTAGCTCAGATCAAAATCAAATGTATTAATTAGTTAAAAGGACTGACTTTTTTCTAAGTGAAAAAAACATTATCTTTCTTTGTTTATAATTGTTTGCATGGGTTGTCTTCACTCGATGTGTACCTGCAGTCTGCAGAGCAGTTGCTGCTTTTAGATATTAGATTAGTATGGGAACAATAGTAATGCTTAAACATTTGAAGTTGTTTAAAAATGTATCCAACTTTAGATCAATTTTTGACAAGAAACCTGTCCAGTCAAGCTATTTGCTTTTAAACTGCTAATATTGTACTACCAGAGTGTTGACCTGATAAAGAAATGTATCTCGTATGCAGATCTGGGATATGGTTGGTGTGGATAAACTCATGGAAGCAGTTACCTGGGTATCTGGCGAAACTCATAGGCCTAGATGGGGAGACTAATGTACAGGCAAGTTGATAGAGATCATCCTTTATGCCACTGATCTATGATTTCCCTTTTCGGTTGTTTTTATGTTACTTTATTTCATTGTTTCTGAACTTGTTTACATTTTAAAATAAGGTGAAAGAACAAAAAAAACTGGATGTGCTTTTCAATCAAGTATTTATCAAAGCTTTGATTGGTTGTGGTCGAACCGTAAGTTATCTGAAGAAATTCTTATCACCATTTTTTGATTTTCCCTGTTAGAACACATTTCATAGTTTAACACTTTAACTGGCTTTTATTGCTTTCTGGCTGTTATTGTTTTCTGGAAATTCATATGTTGGATGAAGAAATTGGGTTCTTAACCCTTTTGAATTAAAAATCATCTATACCTATAGCATATGAAATCAGAGGTATAAGCTTTGAACCTTTGATCATATTTTATCACATTTATTTTCTCCTTTTCAATTTGAAATCATAACTTCCTCAACCATGTTGCTAAATACTTTTCAATTGGATCAGCAGTACCTATGGAGCAATAACCCTTGACATGTTTTTGATACAATAATACTTTTCCTTTGATAAGCTCAAGCAATTTTCATGTTTTTGATACAATATCATTTTAAATATCAGTTTAATGTTCATACTTCATATGGACAATTTTTGTACTTATTTGGAAACTCTCAGGAATCGGGATAAAATCTTCACATTCAAGAATTATTCTAATTACCTGACTCATTTTGCCTGGGAAATTTTTAAGTGAATCAGGTAATTAGCGCCTACTTTTGCCTCGTACCCGTGTCCTCCGTCTGTGATTCGATTTGCCTAAAGTAATCATCCCCTCTCATATAATACTGTTAGCTTCAACTTCTCCTATTTTCCTTTTCTTTCTATTCTGTTTCGTTTCCGAGTAGAGTTTCAAAGGCTGTGTTTTTTAAAGGTTTTATGGCCTGTGGTTCTGAGGTTTGGCGGCACAAAACATATGTCCCGGATGACCATCTCTTGCTAATACCATTGCACTGATAAGTTTCTAAACAATGTTCCCTTCTAATGGATATATATATGTCCCAGCTCAAATGAGATGTATTTTTATTTTGGTATCCTCGTGGCATGAGCTGAAGTTTGAATCTTGGCTTGCTTTGCTTGATGAAGTTCAAGCTCAGTTTGAGACGAATGCTTCAAAGGTAGTTTTTTCTCTCCATGTATGGATAAATTCATGTTGCTGTTGTACTAACAGATCATAATGATTTATGCTGTCGAGATATTCAATGTGGTCTATGAGTCTATCTTATATTGTTAATGATTGTTTTCTTCCATGTGTTTACAGTAACTACTTTGTGCCAAAATGATTAGATTGTTGGATTAACTATTTACTAATTTCTATAAATGCAGTTGTGGGTACTGTTGTATTCAGTACTTCAGCCAAAACAGTATTGATAAGCACAACAATTATCTATATTTTATATAGGTAATTATGATCATCTGTACAAATTCTCAAAGATTAAACAGATAAAAATCCCAATTTGAGCGAAATCGCACTTAGACGTCAAAAATGAAGAAACGAGAGTCAATGGGGAAAAAGGGACCAAGAACCGGCACATCGGGGTCAACAACGGGTGTCAAATGGAGCGAAAAAATGGAGAGAATACAAAAAGGGGAGAAACCCGGCGCCGGCCCACCCTATACCCGGCGCCGGCCCGTCGGATTTTCGCACCAGCCAATCCAGTAGCCTACCCGGCGCCGGGTTGGCCTGATAGCCGGCGCCGGGTAGGCCTGATTCTGCAAATACAAAAGATCGTGCTGAGATATATTGATGGAAAAAAACTCATCTTCCTCATGAGCTAATCAAATATATCTTCCATACTTGATTGTTGGGCTCGAATAGACTAAAAGATGTCAATCTTTAGCCTATATAAAGCCCCCAATTCATCAAACAAGATCATCAATCCATCCTTGGAGCTTAAATTTCAGTTTTTATATTTTATTTTTGCATTCTCTTGAAGTGTTGGAGAAGAAGCCATTTCTCTCCTCTACAATTGGTTCTAGGTATTATTTCTTGTATGTTATTGTATTTCCTTTATCTTAGTTACACTTTTGTAATTAATATGAGCATTAGAGGCTAAGTTCTTAGCTAAGGCTAGGGATGAACTTCTATGTCCACTAGGTGTTTGATAAAAGTTCTAAACCAATAAATTGTGATTTATCCTTTACATTTTGATTGTTTATGACTATGGTGTACAACATAGAAGTATGTTAAACTTAGTTTATGCTTGCAATTAACGTTGAGGTCTAAACTATGAACATTAAAGGATAAACATATATATTACCGAGAATAGAAATATATCCGGTATTATATGATAC